TGGGCATGGGATGAAGCAGACTCCATGATCATGTCATGGTTGTGGAATTTCACGACTCCAAAAATTACCGATACTTTCATGTTCCTATCTACTACAAAAAACATATAGGATGCTTCCAAACAAACCTTCTCAAAAGCTCGGTATGCTGCACAAATCTTCGAAATTAAAGTCAAGGTGAGAAGCACAAAAAAGGAAGCAAGAACGTGACTGAATATGCTACTCTCCTTCAAAACTTGTGTCAAGAACTTAATCACTACATAAGCATAGAGATCAAGTGTCCAGAAGATGTAGTTATCCAAAAAAGCTTTATTGAGAAAGATAGAGTGTATGACTTTCTTGAATTATTAAACACAAAGTTTGACAAAGTTAGAGTTCAGATTCTTGGCAAAGAGGAGACACTCTCACTAAATGAGAGAATTTCTCTTATTTATGTTGAGGAAAACTAGCGAGGCGTAATCCTGGAACCAAAGATTATTGAAGGTTCAACAATTATGATAGGCAAAGAGGCATTATGGAAGGAAAGAGGTAAGATTTTCTAAAAATCTCAAGACAAAGATTCCCTTTGGTGCAGTTATTGCAAGAAATCAAGACACACAAAGGAGACATGTTGGATGTTACATGGAAAGCTCCCAAGTAATGAATGGAATCAAAGAAGTAGACAAAATGGAACAACACAAGCAAACATTACAACAAGTCAGACCAAACCAAAAACAGTCTTATTTTAGAGAGCTCAACAAAGAAGATATTGATAAGCTAAAACAACTCCTTGTATCACTTGAAAAATCACCTGCATCTTCTTCTTTTTCACTTTCTGGTAAATTTCATATATCCATTGGATTAAGTGCCTCTATGAATCATTTAAAAGGAGTATGGATCATTGACTCAGAAGACACAGATCACATGACACATTCCATTACACACTTCATCAACTACACTCCTTGCCCGAGTGATAATAAAATCATCACTACTGATGATTCTCTTACCAGAGTAGCAAGCCAAGAAGATATACCCTTATCTCCCTCACTCACTCTAAAAAAATATGCTCCACGTACCTCAATTATTCACAAACATAATCTCTATACAAAAACTTACCAGTGATCATAATTGTCAAGTCCTATTTAACCCTACTTGGTTCTTATTTCAGGACCACATATCGGGGAAGAAGATTGGACTTGCTAAGGAGAGAGATGGACTGTACTACCTGAAAAATCTGAATAAATTCACTATTATCAAGTCATATATAACCCTACTTGTTGCTTGTTTCAGGACCACGAATCGGGGAAGAAGATTGGACTTGCGAAGCAGAAAGATGGACTATACTACTTGAAAAATCTGAACAAATCCACTATTATCAATAATGGCACATCTACTATTTGACTTCATCGTTTTATATTAGGACATCCATCTTTTGATGTCTTAAAAAATATACCTGAAACTTTTTTACAAGTTATAAAATGAATATTTTCGCTATGAAACTTGTGATTTATCCAAGCATAAATGAGTTTCTTTTCCAAACAAAATTGAGAGATTTCATAACCCTTTTTACCTTATTCATAGTAATATTTGGGGACCCTAAATAATTCCTAACATCTCAAGGGCCTGATAGTTTATATCCTTCATTGATGACTGCACTCGAGTCTCTTAGATCTTTTTCCTCAAAAATAAATCTAGTGTGAGCACTATCCTTCCAATTTTTCACACCATGATCCAGAATCAATTCGAGATAAAAAATAAGAAAATTTAGTTCCGACAATGCCAAAGATTAATTTAACCAAACACTCTCCTCCTACGTTCAAAAGGAAGGTATCATTCATGAGTCTTCCTGCATTCATACCCCATAACAAAATGAAGTTGCAGAAAGAAAAAATGGCCATCTTATGGCCTCCATCCGTGCACTTCTATTTGACTATAATGTACCCAAATCCTACTGGGGAAGCGCTTCTGACTACTATATATATCATAAATCGACTACCATCAACAACCTTGGGACTAAAAACACCAATGGATATTTTATCCTCTTTTTACCCTGAATTTAGAACCCATGAAAACCTCATACCTAGAATCTTTGGGTGCACTGCCCATGTTCACATTCACAGTCAAAATAGAGGAAAGTTAGATCCAATAGCACTCAAATGAATATTTTTTTGGATATTCATCCACTGAGAAATACTATAAGTGTTATCATCCCTCTACCAAGAAAGTCTTGTATCTGTTGACGTTACTTTTTATGAACAAAAATCTTATTTTATCAAACCTCATCTTAGATGAGGGAGACTGAAACTGAAGAAGATGAGGAAAGTGAGCTTGCACCTCCACCTCAAACCAATCCACCTAAACTTGAAATCAAAGCCAGTGAAACTGAAAACGTAGCTATTATGGATAATACGAGGTTTGGGAAACTGTATTCAAGACGTACAAATCCAAATTATGCTCTAGAGCAGATCCATGAATCTGAACCGTCTCCTGAAATTGAGGTAAATACAAGTTCACCAAAAAAAATCTCTTGTACCCCATTACCAACTTTGTATGCTTCCATAACTTCTCACATTTACACAAAAAGTTTCTAATTACACTAAATGATATATATATTTCTAATGATATTTCTGAAACTTTATCTGATGAAAATTGGAAAAGTGTCATAAAAGATGAAATGCAAGCCTTGAAAAAGAACAATATATGGGAGTTCACTGACCTACTAGTAGGTAAAAAATCAGTTGGCTACAAATGGATGTTCTATGTGAAATACAAAGCTAATGGTACACTGGAAATGTATAAGACAAAACTGGTAGTGAAAGGGTACACTCAGACGTATGGGATTGAATAGTAGGAAACTTTTGCTCATCTGCCTAAGATGAACATCGTGAGAATCCTGCTCTCATTAGCAACTAATTATAACTGGCATCTGGAACAGTTGGATGTCAAAAAGACATTCCTACATAGGGACTTGGAGGAAGAAATATTTATGGAGATTCCACCATGATTCAAGGAACAATTTGGGGGTAACAACATGTGTAGGTTAAAAAAGGCTCTATATGGGCTAAAGCAATCACCTAGAGCTTGGTTTAAAAGATTCTCAAAAGTCATGCTACTTAATCATTATCAGTAGAGCCAAGGAGACCATACATTATTCTTCAAGCACTCAGACTAAGGGGAACTCATAATTTTATTAGTTTATGTGGATGATATCAACTTGACTGAGAATCATGAAAAGACGAAAGTAATTCTAAAGAAATGTCTTACAAAGGAACTTGAAATCAAAGATCTTGGTAGATTAAAATATTTTCTTGAAATTAAAGTGGCCAGCTCCAACAAAAGAATCTTCATTTCATAACAAAAATACATTAATGATCTTCTTAAAGAAATAGGTAAACTAGCTTGTAAACCAACACTAACACTAATTAAACCAAATCTCAAATTGGGGAAGCTAAGAAGATCCAAATATAGATAAATGAGCATATCAGAGACTAGTGGGAAAATTGATCTACATTTCCCTCACCATACCAGATATAGCATTTGATATAAACATGAATAAAATTCAAAGCAGACTCACATGCAAGCTGTAGATAGAATATTGCACAATCTTAAAGGAAACCTAAATAAATGGATTCTCTCTTTATAATAGACTGTGGAATAACCCCAGAAGCATATATTGAAGCAGATTATGCAGGATCACCAGTAGATAGACGATCTACCTCAAGATACTGCACATTCCTTGGAGAAAACGTTGTTATATGGAGAAGTAAAAAATAGAATGTGGTGGCAAGATCTAGTGCAGAAGCAGAATACAGAGTTATGGCCTTAGGAATATGTGAGCTACTGTGGATCAAAATAATTCTAGAAGACTTAAGGATCAAGTGGGAATGACCCATGAAGCTAAATTGTGACAACAACTCAACAATCAGTATAACTCACAAGCCGATTCAACATGACATGACACAACACATAGAAGTTGATAGACATTTCATAAAGTAGAAATTAGACAGTTGTCTTATATGTATCGACCATGTCTCATCAAAAGACCAACTTGCATATATTCTTACCAAGGGACTCGATAACTCTATCTTTCTGGGACTGATTAAGCTGGGAATGACAAGTTTGTACTCCCCATCTTGAGCGGGAGTGTTAAATCCCAGTTGTCCCTCGGCATTATGATCCCACAGCTAGAATGGGAATCCGTGGGAGGCTCACCTATTAAATCCTAGCCGTCCCATGGCATTTTGATCCCAAGGTTAGGATGGGATCCGTGGGAGGCTCGTCTATTAAATCCTAGCTGTCCCTCAACATTTTGATGCCACGTCTAAGATGGGAATCCGTGGGAGGCTCACTTGGATCATGTTGATCTCCTTCCATATTTAGATGGCTGATTTAGGAAGGATTATATTAGAGCAATTATGCATTATTCTATAATTATTTATTTTTTATTAAGATATCTTGTATAGATCTATAAATAAGGACATGTTTGTGTAATAAAAATGAAGTGTTTTTACTATCCAATTCTCTGAATTTAACGCTTATTTAATTTTTTCAAGTAAAATTGAGCATCAGTTCAATACTTTTGATCCACCTAGAAATTCAAGCATTGCATCAAAATCTATGCTTGATAAAACCGGAATTTTTATGATCCCAACAAATGCAAATATAGTTTATGCTACTAACTTTTGAAATTCACAACATACCAAAAGTCTGACGAAGAAGCATCTCAGACTATAAAAAGCCTAAAACTCAAGAAGCTCCACAAATCAACTATAATCATCTAACCTTGGCATTACATGGCAAATAATATGGCCAAAAAAGTTTTATAATCCAAAAACTAGTATTTTTTTCTCTCTTTTATGAACAATCTGTCTACCATATGAATCTCAGTAAAATCCATATCAATTTCCTTAAAACAGCTATGAACGCTTCATCCATTCTGTGGGGCATTGGCTGTGAACACTCAGGTACTTCAAAAGAGCAAAAGCAGCACAGTCAAACATAATTATTAAAAAACGCAAATAGCATCCTTATATTTTGCACTAAATTGCATGGTAAAGCAAAAGCAAATTAAGTATCATAGAAGGAAAATAAAACAATAACTGAAGGAAATTATACAATAAAAATTTTACCTCCAAGCATGCAATCTTGAACTCATGGGGTGCACGACGTATAACTGAACCAGCAAAAATAAACCAAAAAGAGAAAAAAGCATCCATCAGTATCACTCACACCTGTAAGTTGTTTAGCTGATTCCATCTCGGAATCTTTTTCAAGGAAGACCTCTTTGTCAATATCAAAAAAAAATCATCCATATGCAAAATATTAACTATCAGCAGAATTCTAAGACCAGTCAAAAATTAATTCAGCATGGACATCACCAGATCCATCATAAAATCTCAGAGGTCAGATCAAACAAGCCTTGTCTTGGTACCAACTACAAAGAGAAGAATTGGTACCGAAGTCTGACTCAAATGATGCGTGCAAGACTATAGAGATGTTTAATTTACAACATTACCTTCCCGGAAAAGAGAAGGGAACAAGCCATCAGGTGAAATCACAACAGGGCCAGTAGGTAGTGCTTTCCCATCCTGCTGAAGTACAGAACAATAAGTGAAACAGCATACATCAATCTATCAAAATTCAACAAAACATTATGATGCGGACATTCAACCGTCCATACCTATCCGAGGAGCTGAAGATCGACGGCCGTGATCGTCCTACATTATATTAAAATTTTATTTGTATTTTTTATTTTAATTATGCATTTTCCATTTTTACCCTTATTTAAGAGTCTTGTCTTATGTAAGCCCAAGGGGCAAAATTGTCTTTTTAGTTTCTTTTATTTTAAGGCCTATATATAGAGGCCCTTACTCTTGTATTAGAATGATGGATTATTAATTAAAAAAATTATTTCTGCACTCTTGTTCTTTGGGAGAACGTTAGTGAGAATCCCTATGGAGGGAATCTTAGTTTCAACCAGCCGCAAGAAGGGTCCGAGCTCATGGCTTGAAGTCCCTAGGTGAAGGGCATCGTATCACCCATCAGATTTCAAAAGAGTTTAAGGCTCGCGGTTCCATCTTTTTTTCTTTGTTTTGTTTTTCCTTATTTCCCTAAACTGCCACCTCCTCAATCCCTCCAACAAAGCGCTGATCATCTCACCCCCACCACATCCACACCATCGGCCTACACCAGCCCCTCCCTTCCTCCTCCCTCCACTTGGCCGAAATCCACCATGGCTCCACCCACCCGCCATCCACCTCCTCCTTAGCCCCACATCTCTCAGAAATTCTCTTTCCTTATTTATGTTGTCATTAATTTGGAAAGATTTTAAATTCAAATTAATCTAATTTGAATTTCAAATACATCCTTATTAATTACATTAATTTTGGAAACTTTTTTCATTCAATTAATTAATCAATTCTGAAATTGATTGGTTAATTAATCCCTAGCCCAAATACATTGAACCTAGACATCCCAATTCCCCCTATTGATTACCTTCCTAAATTAGATTTTTGTTAATTTAGAAATTCATTCAATTTTGAATTCAAATAAATTTGAATTTCAAAATGTTTCCAATTTAACAAATTCTACATTATGGAGCCTCCTCCAATTACTCTCAATCTGAAATTAATTTTAGATTTAATTCTCCCAATTCCATTTAATGTTTGATCCACATACATTGCATGTGGACACTTCTCCTCCCTCTCCATATGATCAGCCCCGTCTCTCATCTCCTCTCTAATTAATGCCTCTCCATTAAAGCCCTCAATAAACTCCAATCACCCCTAGTAATCGCCGGCCCCCATCCCTCATCAAATCCCAATTAAACCCTCCCCAATTAAGGTGATTTGAAATTCAAATTTTCACTCCACTTCCTTTTTTTTAAATCTGAAACTAAATTCAGATTTTAATTTTTCAAATAACCCCTCCCCCCATATATGTTCTACATCAGTTTGGTATTAGAGCATGGTTGCTCACCCGAGATGCGAACTCGATGGAGTCGAGCTCTTTTCCACCCCGGGAGAATGATGCGGACATCCAACCGTCCATGCCTATCTGAGGAGCTGAAGATCGACGGTCGTGATCATCCTACGTTATCTTAAAATTTTATTTGTATTTTTTATTTTATTTTTTATGAATTTTTCGTTTTTACCCTTACTTAAGAGGGTCATCCTATGTAGCCCTAGGGGCATATGTGTCATGTTTTAGTTTATTAGGCCTATATATAGAGGCACTTGCTTGTGTAATGTAATGTTGGATAATTAATAAAATTTTGTGTTTGCACTTGTGTTCTTTGGGAAGAACCTTGGGTGAAATTCCTATGGGAGGAATTTGTAGCTTCCACCAGCCATAGGATGTGTCCGGGCTCGTGGCCTGAAGTCCCTTAGTGAAGGGCAATGTAGTACCCGTTAGCTGCAGGATGTGTCCGGGCTGGCGGTTGTATCTTTCTTTCACTAAATCCTTTTCTCCTCCTCCCTTGACCGCCGGCCACATAGTTTCCCAGACCTCTTACTTCATCCACGGACACCCTTTCACCATCGGCCACCCTTGGCTCCTCCCCCTTCTTCACGAGATCCATAACATTCCTAAAATAGATTTCATAATTTTGGTAACTCTCTTCCTGATCAAATTAATTTGAATTTGAAAGAGTTACTTAATTTACAAAATCCTATTTAGGAAACTTACTAAAACGATTCCTATTTAAATTTTAAATTAAGAAGGGAGGGAAATTTTCTTTCCAAACTTAGTTTATTAATTTAAGTAGACATTAATGCCTCATTAATTCCTCACTCCCTCTCTATAGCCACCGGCCCCCCTCATGAATGAGATTAGAAATTGTTTCCTAAAACTCTCCTCACCACTTTGGAAACAATTCAAATCTCTCCCACCTCCTTTGACCGAATTTATCCATAGTCCTTTCTAATTAATTTATTTCCAGTAGGGAATCTCTTCAATTGGAAGTAAATTAATCCCTTTCTTCCTCTTTGCCTTGCCCCCAAAATTTGAATTCCGCTTTGATTACTTTCCTATCAAATGATGTAAGTTAGGAAAATATTTAATTTCCAATTCTAAGTAATTTTTAATTTGAAATACTTTCCTAATTTAAGATAGCCTATTTTAGGAAAGTTACTTAAATTAAATCTAATTAGATTTCTAATTGGATTTGATTTGATTTAATTATTCATAATATTTTGATCTCAATTAAAGCAAGAAATTCAAATTTCAAATGTCCCTTTTTTTTATTCCCGGTCTACATCACATTAACTGATCAAAGTATGGATAATATTAATAGGGCTTTTCAAATAATAACCATCGATATATCTGGTCATCAAGAGCAGTAGATTGAAACTTGTTCAAGGGTGCAGAAAGGCTAAAAAGCTGAACTTTTTGTAGAGTATTTTCTACCATAGATTTCCACAAAACAAATGGAAAATAAACAGTTTCAGTCATAAGAATTGTCAAAAATTAGAAAACTCTGATTATCACGAAGACATAATGAAGGAGAAAAACCAAAAACGCATCTCCACCTGTTTTAGATTCAGAAGAAAGCTTCTGGTAAGATATGCCTGCACAATGGCTCGAGCACTAAGGAAAAGGAGCTGGTAGCCGTTTTCCTAATCAGAAGAAATAAGCTAGTTACTATAACAAAAAATGTAGACTGAATATCCACGAATTAGAAATAATAATTAAATAAACAAATATTTACATGCCTAAGCTTCTACACTCTTCTACGAGATATCTGATCTTATTAAAAACACAAAGAACTGCAGATCAGATTAACAGCTATGATGCACCGACACTTCTCCTCAAAGAGGCGTGCAGTGTCTGACGCCGTGTCCGACACGACACTCGCCCGACACTCCTCCGACACGTGTCGGACACGCCGAAAATGTGTCTGATTAATAAATATTAAATAAAAATTGGACATGCGTATCTTAAATATTTTATGAATTTTTTTAAATATAATTTCTTGTATTTGACGGGATTTAAAATAAATTTCTTATTTCCTATCCAAAACACCAAATCAACATCTGCATTTAATACCCAATCATCGAATATTCTCATTTTAATTTCTTTTTGGCAGTGAAGGTATTTTCATCTCCTCTCTCGATAACTGATAAATGACATCGATGCCTGACTCTCGACATCATAATACTAATCATTTTAAGCACAAATTCTAGTTAAATGGCTTATTCTTTTCAAATTATTTTTAAAATTATACTTATTTAATTTGTATACACTATTTTTTAAATAGAAAAACTATAATAACATGTCCAACCCGTGTCCGTGTCCTATATTTTCAATAACTGACGTGTCCCGTGTCCGTGTCGTGTCGTATCCGTGTCGCCGTGTCCGTGTCTGTGCATCATAGATTAACAGTTAAAAGACAAGCTTGTTGATATCTTACCAAAACAAGCAAGTTTAAGAAATACTATTTTGAGAAAGAAGGCAACTTTTTATTCTCAATTTTCAAAATTACTGAAAAGGGGTAAAATTTTATCGATGTAGTGATTTGCACCTTTAAATAAAGTGATTTACATTGTTCTTTGCAAGTCAAGCATGTTGGACACCCAAAAAAAGAGAAGAAAGCAAACCTACCAAATAGGTTGTAATTAGAAAGCAACTACTTCAGAAGGCCATCTATGACAGTAAAAGTTAAGTATAACAGTACTTGTGGTCGTACAGATTCAACAAGAGTTGAGTAAATTGTAAGCAAATAGCATTTGCTCAAAATCCAGTTATTCTCAAAGAATAGTGAAGAGTGAATTGACAAAGAAATGAAAAAATAAGTTTCAAGAATGAAACATGCAATGAATGAATTGTAGATAGATATTGGACGGATGTTTTCAACTAAAGAGAGAAAGAGAGAAGAAATAAAAAATGTAAGTGTGTGGAAAGCAACAAGTTCTAGTATACATACAACAACAACAAAATCAAGCCTTTGTCCCACTACGTGGGGTCGGCAAAGTATTCATCTGATGAATTTTTTCATTATAATTACCATCACCACAGGATAATATCTGATCAATTATTTGAACTTGTTAAATACATAAAACTACCCGTTATCAGCGCAATGCTTTCAATGAATTATACTTCTACTCTATAGTTCCTTCTAGAATAACCACAATCATTGAAAGCATAAGGTGATGAAGGTTTGTAACATTTTTCAAAGGATTTATGCTCTAATCACACCTTCAGAAAAATTGTGTTTATGCTCTAATCCACCTTCTGAAAAAAAATTTCATCAATTCAAATCAAAGTATCACATGGCAAAAACAAGGGTTTCAAAATGCACCAAATTGCAAAGCTAAATGTCACAAATTGAAGTATGGATTAACATGCAACTTGCTTTCTGCATGGTCACTACATATTCAACTTTACTATACCTTTATGGCAGAAAAAAGTCGTGCAACCCCAGACTGTGTCCAATCTTTTCCGACCAAAGGCATGACCTGGCCGAGGACATCAGACCTAAAACAGAAAAGATGGAGTTGGAAAAGCATTAAATTCTAATACCTGCAAGGATTAAAATCGCAAATAAGAAAGATAAATTCACCTCAAATATAATAGATGACAAAGGTTCTCAAATACAGTTTAAGAGTTTTAGAAGTTTAAGTCTCAGCATTTTCAATGGTTTGGTAGACACGGTCTGTAGGCCTGTTTCTAGTTTCAATTGTAGTTTAAGTAAGTTTTTATTATGCAGTACAAAAAAATTAAAAAAATTCTGGTTAATAACTCGAATTTATCACTATTTTAATAAATTAATTTAAATTTGAGGAAGATGTATACTTGACATATTGGATGATGTTCTAAAATTTGAACATGTTATTTGTAAAAATTACAATTTACAATGATGAATTTAGCAATATCAAGTAATTTGAACTATTCAATATTATATTATTATTAGTAATGTTAAATGAACGACTAAATTATATCCTAAGCCTATCTAAAAATAATTTTAACTGGTGAGAAAAGGATACCGTTATTAATTTTTAAAATAATTTATATTTTATGCTATGTGTTGAAAAAGAATATTGGTTCATTGGATCATGTTGCACGTGTTATTTGGGTGTTCCTAGAACTGTGCTCATTCTCCAATTACAAATATGGAGGATCACAAGTGAATAAGAAAAACAAAAATTTTTCCTCTAACGTGATCGTAGAGTCAAGCTAAACCAAGCTCCTCCCTTGTGATGCACTCGATCCTTGATACCACAACCAAACTGATGGGGACATCGGAGCTTGGAAAGTCTATCAAAAACGTGGTCGTCGATCTACGGCCACGATTGAGTCGATGTACTTCTGAGTCATATTATGTATTTTCTTTATTATTATTTTATGTTGTATTTATTTTATTAGTGTTTCCGTTTTTATCCCTTACATAAGGGAGGTCATATGCAAGCCCAGAGGGCATCGTCGTCTTTTTATTTTCTTGAGTCATTTGTATGAGGCTATATATAGCCCTCTTGTTCTCTTTTCATGTTAATGATTGAATGATAAAAATTTTGTCATTGCTTGAGTTCTTTGAGAAATCTTGAGAGTGCTTGGCGAGAGAGATCCCTATGAGAGGGAATTCGGATCACCCACCAACCTTGGAGACGGTCGAGTTCGTAGTTCCTCTTCATTATCTCTTTTTCCTCCCTCTTTCATCTCCTAGCCGCCGGCCAAGACCTTTCCCAAACCTTTAGCCTCCGGCCACCTAAATTCCCACCACCACCCGCCGCCTAAATTCCTCCCACCACCCAATCCACCGGCCAACCTAACTCCACCATCACCCCACCAACATTCCCCCACAAAGCCCACCAAGCCGCCGGCCCCATCTCCCCCTCCCTCCCTCCAAAATTCAAATCCCCCTCTTGAATACATTCCATAAATGATTATTCTTAATTTGGGAAGCCTTAATTTCAAATTTCAAAACAATTTGAATTTGAAAATTCTTTCCTAATTTGAGAAATCTATTTTAGGAAAGTTCCTAAATTAAATCCTTTTGAATTCAAATTTGATTTGGATTTAATTAAACCTTTCATAATTCCTAAACCCAAATTAAGAAACCCCAAATCTCTCCCCTCAATCCCTCCTAAACCCATGATGCCGCCGGCCCCATAAATAAATCCATTGGGATTTATTTCCAAATCTCCTAAGCCCTCTCTTGGAAACCTTTCCTAATTCCTATCCACCTGTTGGCCGAAATTTCCAAAGCCCCACACCTCCTAATTACTTTCCAAAACCTAATATTAAGTTTTGGAAACAAATCCCTCATCCCCTCTCTCTCGCTTGTCGTCGCCCCTACCCTCTCTCTCTTTCTTTAATTATTCCCAAACATGGGGATTAATTAGAGCATTGTTTGAAAACCCTTTCCCTCCACCAAATCGGAACCAAATTAAATATCTCTCCCTCCTCCCTTGGCCAGCCACCCCACCCTCCTCTCCACTTTAATTTTGAGAGAAACTTCTTTCTCTCTAGCGGAGCTTCAAAGGATTGACATTGATCTTCGACTACACATCCTCCTTCTAAAGCCAATGAATGGCCGATCCGGAGCTTGACTAGGAATTTGCTTACAACGAGCAAGGATACATTAATATCCTCCACTCCACCTTCTTCGACTTCAATCCGGAAGTTGATCGTTCCATCGAAGGGTACGTGGACCGTATTATTTTCACGCTATCGGAGGTCATCGACAAGCAACTTGCCGGCGCCTAGTGGAAAATCGTCTCCGAACCTACCCATGGGTGAACTTCTTCCCCTTTTCATTTATTTTCCTAATCCCCTAATCTTGTAGTTGGTGACAAGTCACATGGAGCCGTGTTTTGCCTTCTGCTTAAGCTTAGTAAACGTAGGATTGAGTGCACCTTCTATGTTACTATCTTATTGTTAGATTAAGGATTTTTGTTGAAAGCTACTACATTTTCTTACTATTGAGATTCTAAGTTATTTGATAATTCAAGCGTTTGGGCTTAGCCGAAACGTAGACACCCCTCTCTTATTTTTTTTGTAGTTATAACTGCTAATAGTTTTAATCTTAATTGTTTTATTCAAGGAAACGTGCAAATTCTAATCGCATACAATTAATGAATCATGAGCCCAATCCTGAAATGCTCCCCCTCACATGAATCATGCTCACGAGCAAACATCGATATCTTCAATCTTGATCATCATTCCTCTTTGCTTTTGGCTTCTTGACGTGTCTTTCATATCTTCTACTTCCATCGTCATTTCTAATGAAACGAAACATTCTTATAAGTAGAAATGCTAATCCCAACATTCCCACAAGGAGAAATCCCATTGGATTCACAAAATCCAATAAAAATGTCACCTTTCTCTCTTACCATCTGACTACTCTACCCATGAATTGCTACCACAACACTGTCTCAACCAATTATTGCCCTCGTTACCATTCTCCCATTACCCTAAGGCATAAACACTTCATTAATCAAATTGTCTTGATGATATGAGTTAACTATCAATGCTCTCTCTCATGGTATCATGACTCTTACTCTTCTTTCAATGAATCAAAACCCTTCACCATTAATACCAATTATCTCCTATAGTCAAGAGCCTGTCTCTTCCTTATTGGTTCTCACAACAAACTCAATTATATTGAATTCTTGATACAACTATTCCAAATAACACTAAAAATGTCAAATTTTCAAAATGACAATGGTTTGATCATGTTGTGCTTGCCGAGTTGCATGAATTAAAACTGCACAATCTGAGGCAAGCAAAAAAAGCTTTTAGGCATATACCTCAATTGAATGAGGTGTGCCTTAAGGCTTTTTGATGAAGTGTAGCACGATGCATCAAAATACTCAAAAAAATAAAAGAAAATATTCATACTTGCATGAATAAAGTGACAATGTCAACACATTTAGCTTAAAGGCAATTTGATGAGAGTTGATGATGATTCCTAATATGGTAGTGGGCATGGGCATGGGCATAGTCGCAAAAAATCTTCTTCTTCTAGGTTACAAATCTTCAATAAAGATTCTAGGGAACCTATAGATAGATATATAATAAACATGAAAAATGAAAATAATAACATGAGAGATATGAAAGGCCATTTCTATTAAAAAGGATCTCATATACTTATGATTTTCGATAACTATGACCATCATAAGGGATATATCTCGAAGTAGTTGTATTTTTTGTCAATAGCTTGAATTTTAAAATGAACCTCTCCCATGGGCGGACCCACGGCTTGGTCAGGGTGTGCAAATGCCCACCCTCAAAATATATATATATATATGAGGAGGGTTAATTTCGGTATTTTGCCCCCCCCCCCCTCTAAAAATAAGTTTGCCCAATTCTTTCCCACGGTGCTATTCCAGCCGCTGAGCCGCACTCTTTATTTCGCAAAATTCCGTGGCAGTCGGCACTATATTCGTCTCCGCGAGCGAGCGACTCCGCTTCTCAGGCATTCGCCTCGATGTTCGTCAGCCCGTAGGTTTCGTCTACTCAAATCGCAAGCATTCGCCTGGACGTCTCCGCAGCTTTCGTCTCCGCCGGCTTCGTCCGTTCGTCCACTTCGTCGCAACTTCTTGACTTCGTCTTCTTCGCCTCTTCAGTTCGTACTTCGCAGACCGCTGGCGCAGCTCTTTTTGCTCACGAATTCAAGGTAACTTGCCGCATTCCCTCTTTTTTGGGTGGATTTGATTAGAATGATGAAATATTTGCTAGGTTTTAATCATTCCCGCTTTTTTCAACTGAGAATGGAACACATTTTTTAAAATATTTTCCCGTTGATGAATTGATTTTATGCTAGGTTTTAAATTTTAATTCAGTCATCATTGTGAAGTTTTATTGAGTATTTTTCTTTAGTTGAGAGCAGCAAAATGATGAACAAGGTAGTGGTTGCAGTGTGATTGTGTGAGTTATTTGCAATTTTGCATTGACAAAGAAATTAAGAAAGTTAAGTTGCATCAATATTTTACAAATTTACTAATGATAACAACCTTAGAACAAATTTAAAGTTTCATCTATAAGTTCAAATCTAGAACTCATCAAGATTAACAGACATAAGGCTTACTATTTGTTGGCTTTGCTTTGTGTGAGACCTGTATTTGCATCGATTTCATTGGGATCATCATTGTGATGGGACATACCTATCTGATTCTCCATTTTCTCACTTTATTCTCAATAGTTTCCCCATTAATTCACCCCTTTCTACTCTTACTGTTAATAATGAATGGATTCTTCCTATTGCAACTCATAATCAAAACTCTGATATTATTTCCTCTGTTTATGTGTGGATGATCAATTCTGGAAGGTTGAAAAGTGCAGATGTTTTATTGAAGTGGAATATTCCAGTGGATAATATGTGCTCCCTATGCCATTATTTTTTTCACCCAATATATGTTAATCTAATGACTATAATATATACTCTTTAAAAGTCTTCTTCATAATGAAAATAGATTTTTTAGATCATAATGAAAATAGATTTTTTAGATGGAAACTGTTTCTTTTTCAACACATTT